ATTAGGATCTCAATGTCAATAAAGAACTGATGCCTTTGGATAAAAACAATCTGTGTGGCAATCGAATAATTGATATTGAGATCCTAATGGTGATATTAGCTTCATTATGTTGTCCGGTTTGCTATGATAACAAATTGCATTTAGAAGAAAATTCTAGATTTGAGCTATTATAAATATTATAAAAAATATTTTTTACTTCTAATTATTAATAAAAACTATATTTAGACATATATATTAAAGTGTGAAAATACAGTAAGATGGTTGTTTAATAAAAAATTGTTCCTGTGTTAAATGCTTTATAAGTAGTAGACTTTTGATGTTATTCACTAAATACTTTAAAATATCGCTAAATAATACGTTAAAATATCGCTACGTTAAATAAAACTAAGAAAATGTGTGAAGGAATGTGCCCCCTATAAAATATAATAACTTCCTACTGACAAACATTCATAGTTTTTAGAAAAAATGTAATTATAAACTTTAATTGTGTTTTTCTCAAAATGACAATTTTGCTGTTTTTTGTCTACGGAAAACAAGATAACTCAACTAATTATAATAAATTTGTCTTCAAACTTTCAGAGATTGTTTCTTGTATTGGTGGTTATGTAACAGACCTCCAGAATTCAGATAACTGTATTATTTTTTGTTTTATGAGATATTTTGCAGTAGATAATGTGAAGAAAATGTGAAAAAAAATGGAAAAATATGCTTAACACTCCATAAATTTTTTTAATTTCATGATATCATTTAAGTTGAGGTTCATAACACTTCAGAGGGTTATACGAAACGGCTCAAAAAGTTTGATAGCTGCATGTACAATAGTTTTTTGTGTAGAGTGTTTTCCGTTAATGAGTTATTTTCATTAAAATTATCTAAAAAATACTCTTTAAACAAAAAATTTCCTGTATATTTAAATTTTCTCTATTAAATATGTTTATTTAAATTAATATACAATATAAATTGCAATAATGTTGCGAAAAATATTTATTTTTCAAAAATTTTGTCCCGAAGGTACTCGGATACCTTAACACTAAATTATAAGTTCTTTAATAATATCGTCTTTTCAATTGAAATTGCCAAAGCTTTTTATAATGTAAAAAACGCGTTAAAAAATTAAAGCTTCAATCTTATCATAGCAGCTATAATGTTAAAATAAAATCAGTTAAGAGGAAGGAAGTGGAGTTTTTTGAAAATTAAGATCGAATTTTTAATAACTACAAAGTAAATTTTGCAAATATTTGACTATTTTTGCTAGCTTTTTAAAAGGTACTAATGGGCTGCGCCCCCTGCTCGCTAACGCTCGCCAACCCCCGAAAATTGCTACGCAATCTTATATGGTTTGCCTCACAAACCAAGCTCGCTTCGCTCGCTACTAACTTAGGTACTTTGCAAATACACAGAATTCTAAGAATTCAAAACAATAATTCAAATCCATGTAACAACATTTTTTTTAAAAAAAAATTACAACTTTTTAGTAAATACTAAGTCATTAAAATAAATTTGAATTCAAATAAATGACATGTAATTGGTTAAATCTATTAGAAATGTGCTATAGTATAAAATCTTAAAGCGTAACAGCATGACTGAGATTAATTCTTCAATGAATAACTAATAACAATAATAAAACAAATAAATTCGTGATATAAATCAAAAATCGTCAAATAAATTCGTAATATATAAATTCGTGAAAAAAAGAGCTTTCGACAAAATACTAAAATAGAGATCTATCGACAAAGACTACTCACTTCTGCCTAGCTTAAGGTTATTTCAATTTCCTTTTTTAAAAGCGCTATATGTTGAGCCACCTCAGCTAGATTTGGCATGTGACACTTTTAGCGGCAATCATTGGTCGATTTTCTTGCGTTGCCATTCGGGGAGTTGTAATGAGGCTTTTTTTTTGTCGCCGTGTAAGAGAAATATATATATAGATAGCATGACATAGCTTTTCTTACTTTATTTAAAATAAATTGGGTGCCTAGGTCGCGCAGCGGCCCCTAACCCATGCATCATGAAATAATTTACAGTGTATTAAAACCTTTTGTGTTATGCTACATAATGGTGGCATATGAAAGCATGACCTAGCTAGATGGTAGAAATCACATAAATCTCGGTACGATGCCGCGAAGCGGCATTAACCGATTCATCTGTAGTAATAAATCGATGATGAGGAGTAGTGAGGAGGAATGGAGTTGGGAAGAAGAGGGGGTGCTTAGCACCAAAAAATCGAGAGGGGGTGCATGACGTAGCTAAAAGTGATGAATTGTATAAGCCTACGAATTATTTAGAAATAGTGGTTGATAAAATTCTATTAAATTTAATTTATTAAACCAGGATTCACAATTGATAAACTGCCACTTTAAAATATATATTTGCTGTCCGGAGCAAGTTGGCATCTCTGTATATTTTATTCTTGATTATATGAGTGTTGTAGCTTACAATCCTATGTAAGTGATAAATATCAATAAAATGATTTTTTTTCGTAGCAGTATAGCAATTACAAAATTTTAATAATTTTAATTGCTATTTAAAAAGTATATTAGCTACTTTTTCACGCTTTTCAAGAGTGGCAAAAGACGAATACAATTTTATTCGTTGTAAAAGTTCTGCTTTTGTCTATTTGCCCCTGGAAAAAATTATTCTGAGAAACCCCAAATTTTGGAGGGTATGGTCTTCACTGCAATGACATTCAATTTAATAGTTACGAAAGACAAACTTATGTTTTAATTATTCAGCTATTTTTTTTAAAACCTAACCAGTTGGTGAAGCAGATTTTAACCCTTTACGGCTTAGTGTAGACAGTCTGGCAACATTCATGCAATAATTGTTGCAGAGCACTGGAAATGCAAAACTAATTGCTTTTAATCATTCAGCAACCAATATTCTGCGAAAAAAAATTTTTTTTTACTTTACTTAAAATTACTGTCTAAGTTCGCACTTGCTGATCGGACCTGTTTCCAGAAAAGGTTAAAAATAAAATCATTTAGTAAAAAAAAAATTTCAATCATTTTGATTGTTTCCTTTTATTGCTGGCATTGAAAAGTCGATTTTCCTCAGATCTTTGGCTTTCAGAGTTAAATTCCGTTTATTATTGCAGCTTTGCAATGAGTACTTTAACTTTCTGAAACATTGTTTTGACATATTAATGCAAAAATTTGTACCTGGGTTATTAATGAAGTTGTTTGTAGATTTCCAAAACTGCCATCAGGAAGTTGAGTCTCCTTGAAAAGTTGAATGACGTTTTCATAATTGGTTTTTAAACTGCTATATTCAATTTTATTCATCAGTTTCGTTTGGTTCTCATAACACGAAACTGCCATTACAGCATATGCTTGATAATCTGGGGAATAAAATTTAATTTTTATTAATTGAAGAACTCATAACAATGTAGTGAAAACGTAACACAGCTCAGAATAGCTAATGAATTTAAAATAGAAAGTAATAGCAAATTTATAATCAGATGGAATGCCTCGTTCTTTTATTAAAAAAATGAAAAAAGACTAAAAATGAGGTTCCGAGGGCAATAAGAAAATTACTCAACTTTAATCAAAGCCAGTGATGTACATTTAATTGTTGTTATAAGTACTACTCGTAATATCTCCTATTGTTAAAAATGATCAATAGAAATAGTTTATAAGTTACTATTAAAACAAAAATTATGCTGTTACTTTTCCATCATAAGAACCTTGTTTGTTTTAGTTATATAATTCTACTTCTTGATCTTTAGATTCCTGGGGTTTTAGGTTTGTAACGTCATTTAAATGTGTAACTCTGCTTTGTCAATCTAACAAAATTTTCAGAGAATTTTTGAGCGTTAAATAACAGAACTATTTCATACTTCTAATACAGCCCTATTGCCACACTGACTCTCTTTTTAAAATAAATATATAATCAGTACCGAGGAACAGCAATCGATGAACATTCACACATTGGTAGAAAGCGCTTAAAACTAACACCTATTTTTAAAATTAAAAAAAAATAATAATTTCTTTAATGTTTATTTAAAATGCATTTAGCTCATTTAATGAATTGCTCATTTTCAGAAAAAGTAAAATTAGACAACTCAATATTTTATAAAATATTTAAAACTACAGATATTTTTTATTATTAATTTATTGTAGCAAATAAAGGATTTTTGAAAAAATATTGCATTACAAAAGTCTTAAATTAACAGACTAAATTTTAATATAAATTACAATGGGGAAAAACTTTTTTCTGCTGCATGAGATTTTTGAACGAATCTTAGATATTTTCGCTTTGCTGATTTCAAAACTGATTTTAGTTCCTCTCTATAAATTATAGTTTTTATGCAATTCAGCATTATATTCCCAATCAAGATTTTTTTCAAAATTCACTAAAGAGAATAACTGTGTTCCGACTTCTCTGCTACCTAAGGCATGATAGGAAGTTGGTGATAATGCATTTCAGTTTATGTTAGAATAAATTTAGGTCATGTTTTTTTTGTCTTTAGAGTTATTTTTAAGGGAGCTGATAAATGAATATAAGCCTGTAAACTAGCACATTCAGAGAAAAATTAACTCATCTAAAAATATCTTCATGAAAAAAAATTTTAGCTTTAGAAACTAAACTAATTTTAAAACACCGCACCCGATTTAAGTAAGATAAATTACTTCTCTAAATGCAACAAAAAATTTTGCATGTTATTTTATAATACAAACTTATAATTGAGGAACATTTATGTCCAGTTACCTCTAACAAAAGGATAATCAGCATCGGTGCTTAATATTTTGTTAATATCTGCAATGGCTTTAAGCGGCCATGGTTCTTTAGCATTGCAGAGAGTTAAATATGCTATTGGATGAGTGAAGTTAGTTGTAGACTGCACTTGCTCTTTTAAACGCTTTATCAGGTTCTGTCCATAGAACTGATGAGGATTGTGACACGTCACCAATAAGCTGTTTATAAACATGCTTAGCTGTTCAACTGAGAGAGGATTCCTGAAAAATTGAATTATTAGTATTTTAATGTGGCGTATGCATTGTTCGTAAATAAATAAATAAAAAGAAAATAGCTTCACAGCTTTACTCTTAATTCAAGAAGTTTTAAAAACAATGTTAGGTATCAATGCTAGAAGTGTAAAAACAATAATTTTTTATTACTCGAGTATTGAATGCTTTGCAGAATCTTAGAAAATTTATTACCTGTGAAAATAAATTATATTTGAACTTTAAATAAAAAATTATTATAAAATATAAATTCAATTGTAAAATATTACATCTGAATCATTTGACACTTTGGCGTTGTTCACTAATTTTTATTTCGTTCAGCTATTGATTCTTTAAGAAATATACATGACATGTTTACATTTCACGAAGGCTCTTCCAGTTCATTTTATTTTTAAGCAACATAGTTCCTTTAACTTGGAGGATTATATCATGAATAAAAGAATCATATCTGGATAAATGATTCAGATTAAAATTAGTAAGACATCATTACATAAAAAATATTTTATTCGGAGTTATAGTAATTTTCAGATTTTTTTTTTAATTTTATGAATTTAATTGACTATAGCATTTAATTTAAAAAAAATTTAAACTTAAAATAGCAAATTGTATTTTTTGTTCATCATAAATAATTTGTTCATAAAATATTACAAAATATATACATTTTTATTTGTCAAACCATTTTAAATAAATGAAATTTCACTGACGTTTCCTATTTACTACGATCTCTGGTACCGTCAACAAAAAAATCATGACTTTTAGAACCTCCTTCAATCGAAGTTGAATATCAAAATGAAATTACCGCTATACAAAATGAAATTACCTCTATTTTGGAAGCAATGATAAGTGAAGGTTATAAATTTGAAAAGTTCTTGAATTTGCTTTGCACGAAGAGAAAGCAATGAAATATCAGGCGGTAGTGAGGCGCCAAATCTCGATCCTATAACCAATATGCTTATTTTTGTGTCATATACCCTGAAAAATATTAAGCATTGTTTGATGAAGAACAGTCGCGATAGCTAAGTGTTTAAAGGCTCTAAACAGTTATTGTGAAGATTTGAAGTGCGATCCGTTCTTAAGGTTCGAAGCTCAGATCGATCTTAGTTTCAGATAGATGGGTGTCAGCTTATTTTGGAAGCAATGATAACCTTTGGGCAGTGTTGATAACATTTCCACATTCATACCGTTGGTTATGAAATTGTAGAGCCTAAGCCAACGTGGCACCTTTGGCAAAAAACGGGCGGTAGCAGGAATGCTTACTTTTTAATGTAGGTAAATTTTTTCAAAAGACACAGCTAAACAAAATAATTATTTTTAAAAGTATATTATTAACAATTTAGAAATGGTATTATTTACAGTTTTGAGGAAGTGTATTAAAAAAATTATTTGACTCTTACTTATGCAGAGAAATGGAAGTCTTAAGCTCTGTTTGTGTTGCCATTAATTCTTCCTCATAGATTGTTCCGTCAAATTTGACTCCTCCTGATAAGAAGAGAGAAAACAGAACTCGTGGAGTATTTTCATGCCATCCCCAAGAAGAAGAACCCTTGCTTTTTATCCATGTTATTTCGTTCGTACGTGCCTCCGTGACACCTTTAATGCTTAATATACCAGTTTCTGTAAAATAAAGCAAATTAAATACTACGCATAGATATACAAATTGTTATAGTAAGTAAATTAATAGAAATATAATCAGACATTATAATGAAAACTATTGTTTATAATGTAACGCATACAAAGCAATTAAGATAGTGACAATATTTAACTATTTTTCGTAGCTGTGAAATTCACACACTTCCCTCACGTTCTAGAACAAAGTGAAAGCATTCACACCCCGTAAATTTAAGAAAGCTGCTGGGTCTTTTTAACACGTTCACGTCGGGAAAAGTGAAAATACTGGTACGGGAAAAGAGAAAATACTGGTAGAAGAACTATTTCAATATTAGATAATATTCGGGAGGAGTTAATCTAATCTCAACAACAACAATTCACTGTTAGGAAATTTTTTACGGCGAAGAAGCAATTCAATATAAAAATAGCTTCCGTTAAAAATAATTGGTAGTTCCGTTAAAAATAAGCATATCCAGCCTTTACAGAATTTCCGTCGACTTAGAAATATTTTCTAGTGGTAGCAAATTAATATTTTAATAAATTACATTTAAAAGAAGTTTTTCTACCACTGTTAAAACATAGTTTAAATTGACCTATGAAAGCTCAGATTAAATACCGCTGTGCTTAAAACTTAGTAAAAATTTATATGAACTCCTTGCGTTTTTTAAAATTTTTGCTCAGGTTCTCTACCACAATAATAAATCCTTTTAATAAACCTTTAATGTTGAAGGGTATAAAATTCAGGGATATCAACATGCTCCAGTTTAAAAACAATATTTTCTAGTGGTAACGAAATTTTGTTTTTGGTTTGGTACTTTCCATTTCTACTATTTTTTCCGCCACTATATATCAAAGAATAAGATGGAATACAACTTTATGGCAGTTATCTCGTGGTGACACTTTTAAAAGAGTGACTGTAAATATCCTTATTCAACAAGTTTTACGATTTAATTCTCTACCAATTTATTAAAACTTTTACAGAAAGCGAGGTAGTTGACATCTACTGGTACACAAATCAACTCTTTCCTTCAAATTCTTAAAAAAAAAACTGGTTGAATGAAGATTGGAGCTTTGAGCCCAGCATTGCCCTTGTTCATTCATCATGCTCGCAACAGTCAGTGAAACAGGTGAATAGTATAAAAAACTCTTAAGTAAAATATTGTCTACTTCAATGGGTGAAAAGTATCGAAATGTCACAGGCGACTAAAAATGCGAAGAAGTGATAGAAATGTAATTCACTTTTTGCTTATTCATTATCTCTTTAATTATTTAATCGTAATTACCACTATGACTTATATTTAACATTGCTGATATTTGGAGCCCCTATAACACTTTCCTGCCAACTTTTCCGGATTTTGCGAAAGATTTTATTTTTATATATAAAGTGGTAGTAAATATATACTATTTTTTCTTTTATAAACTTAATTTTTAAATGATTTTGATCACCACTATTCTTCCAAAAATTAAGCACATACATTAATATGCGGTACTATCATGGTTGTCAACTTAAGATTTTTCAAATGCAACGTATTTGTTTGCTTAAAAATGAAGTTTTAATACCACTGGGCAAAATGATAATGGAAGGGATTAAAAGTTGGCAGGCATGCTGTAACCACATTTCCTAAAACCAATTCTAAATCAATGTTCTCACTTCAATTTTAAAAAAACAAGAGATTAATCTACTTACAATACATAATACCAATTTTAACCTACGCTCCACCTGTATTCACCACACTTACTGACTACCTCAAGAAAAAATCATCTATAGCAGAGGTCAAAATTTTCAGATGGATGCTCGAAGGTTCTATCCATCCATTAATAAAGAACTCGAGATTTATAATATCTTTTGTCAATGAACAAATTGCCTAGCTCAACATAAAATTTTTTAAAGATGCCAAAAATAATCCAGCCCCCAAATTCAACTGCATCTTTAAAATTGATCTCCAATGAAAGCCTCTCCAATTTCGTCCCGCAGTGGACTGATCGTTAAGACACGGTTCCCAGCAGATCACCGAAGTCAAGCATTACTGGCTGCTGTCAGTGTGCGGGTGGGTGACCACTTGGATCAATCTGAGTAGGGACCGAGGGTGTGCGGTATTGGTCCTCGTTAAACTGTTGTGCCGTAAAGTGCTAGACTTCGAGCGTAGGTCGTCGTGCTACCGAAGCGGGCGTGCCATCCTCTCTGCAGAGGATCAAAATTGTGATGGCATGTCTTCGGATCATTCTCAGGAATGTTTTCCAGACCGTCGCCAATGGCCCATTGTGCAGATCCAGTGCGACGTAAATGAGCAAAAACTACAACTACAGCCTTTCCAATTTCTACTCCAAATGCAGCAATTTATTTTATACTTCACCAATCCTAAGTGATCACAAGTTATCCTCAATTATTTCAAAGGGGAGTAATCCCTAATTGAAGCTGCAGACAGCCGCGGGGCAGAAGGGTCCCATGATAGACTTCACGACTACTTTCACCATACCTGCCAACTCTTCCGGATTTTGCGGAAGATTTTGTTTTCATATTTAAAGTGGTAGTAAATATATACTATTTTTTTCTTTTATAAACTTAATTTTTAAATGATTTTGATCACCACTATTCTTACAAAAATTAAGCACATATATTAATATGCGTTACTCTCATGGTTGTCAACTTAAGTTTGCTCATATACAACGTATTTGTCTGTTTAAAATTGAAGTTTTATATTCCATTTTAATACCACTGGGAAAAATAATAATGGAAGGGATTAAAAGTTGGCAGGTATGCTTTCACTACTTCAAGTATGCATACTCTTTATATTTAGCCATTACTCCTGCATCCTCATGATACCTCCTTGTCTTCTCCGACACGACTACCCGCTTAGCACGCGCTTACTGTATATTTTCTTTGTAAGTATTCTGTTTATTTTACTCAAACATTGTCTTATTTTATCATCATTAACCCGCTAGGTAAATATTTTAGACTTTCACTTTAAGTGTTATTTCTCCTTATTACAGTCTTTCTAATTTGTATGTAGCCCCGGTAATTGTTTATTATTAAGTACACGGATTTTTACTCATTCTCACGGATTTGTTTCATTAACTCAATATTACCCTTAGCCTTATGAATGCTCATACTTACGACTATTGGGTGTGGGCTATTGACCTCTAAGATCTTGCTTGCGCACGTTCCTTCCATTTTTTTTCACTAATTCCCATTTCTACTAAGCATTTTTAACTTCCAATTATCCATCGTTTCCTAATTCCAACTAATCAGTTTATTGCCGCCTTCGGTAGCAAATACCGAGCTTCTGTAGTCTTCATGAATCGTGAATCTTAACATTAACTTTCAATAGAAAACTAAAGTAAATATGCCATTCCTAAAAATATGAAAATATTGAGTTCCTAATCAAAATTTCTTTTAATAAAATTTTGAATTACATTGGTCAGCACTTTTGGTCGCCCGTGGTAGCCCTAGAAGTAAGAAAACAATATACGCTGCTCAAAATAATTATTGAAAACAAATCTTTTATAAAACCTTCTGTCTGTGCATTAGAATCGCTATCTTTTATCTCTATCTTTATTTCCAAATTTTTTGAAGGATCTTATTCACCCTAACCAAAAAAACTCAAATTAACCCTACAACTCAACATATAGGTTATTGTAAATCTTGTGTAAATTAACGGTATAAGCAAATTGTTTTTTTAAATAAAATGGTAGAAGAAAGTCACAGATGCAAATTTTTCATATTTTCAAACTGCATAGTATGCAAATTTTGAGTTTGACGTCGAGGACGACGCTTTAGCTGCAGTAAATGTGATTATACTTTCAACTGAATGTGGGAAGCGGAAAATAGTGATCAACGTTTAGTAAACGCATTGTTTCAATAAGTGCGAAGTCTAAATGAAGTCATTTAACCGAATCAGAATGTTGGAGAGTTGTTGGCCTGTTAAAGGGGGATCAGCAGAGGAGGTCGACAGGCCGGACTAGCAGCTGCCATTGGAGATTCACAAAGTGTAATTTCCAGTATCAGGAACCATTTTTTGGAGAACTGAAGATGACGCTGAAAATCAGGGCAAGGGCGTGGACGTGCAACAACACCCAATGCTGCCCGTTATTTATCGCCAACGGCTCGGAGGCACCGAAATATGAATCTTGGCACGTTGTTGATTATTTAGAGGGGAGGGACAAACACAAGCCGGACTGGCAGAAGCCTTTCACAAAGTGTGATTTCCAGGATCTGGAACCGTTTCTTAGAGACTGGAAAAGATGCTGAAGATCAGGGCAAGGACATTGACGTCCAACAATGCCCAATGTAGACAGCTATTTATCGTTATCGGCTCGAAGACACCGAAATATGAATGCCATTCTTCTTCAACAATACCTTCACTCGGCTACTGGCACCACAGTTTCGACACAAGCTGTCCTAAACCACCATCAGTCTGTGGGTGTGTATGTTCACCGTCCAATGGTGTCACGTTAGCACCTTAAAGTCACGTTAACACCAAGGCACACCGTCGCACCCGCAGGGAGTCGACCGCAGAACATATGAACTAGATGAGAATTGAATGGCGCAAAATTCTTTTCTCTGATGAGTCCCGTTTTTCTGTTTATCCTGATCACAGGCGTATTTTTCTCTGGAGGAAGCGTAGCACTAGAAACAATCCAGTGTTCGTTCACGAAAGTGTAAAATGTGGCGGTGGAGGAGTGATGGTCTATGCTAGCATCTCCATTGATAGGCGCACAGATCTCCATGTATCATTCGAGATGGAGTTCTGGCCGGTTGCTGATATAGGGATCATATCCTGAGATCCATTGTAGTCCCTTACACAGCAGCATTAGAGGTGATTTCCTGTTAATGGATGGCAATTTCTAGTCGCATCGTGCTAACTTGATGAATGATTTCCGTTTTAAGTAATGAATCATACGAATGGATTAGGCAGCGTGTTCCCAGCAGACAAATTGCTGGACAATTTGATTTCAAGTTATTTTTGCAAGACATACTTTATAATTTCCAGCCTCTTTAAAATATCTTTAACAGAAAGCAAAGCAGTTGACATCTTTCCCAGAGCTTGTACGGTCCTTAATATTTTTAAAAAAATGGAAATAAAATGTAGAAAATAATATGTAATTTTTAAGTTCATATCCAAGGTTGCCAACTTTCTACTCTTTTTATAAAAACTTATTTTACTGGTAGCTAAGTTAATGTGTTACTGTATTATTTTTTATTCATTTAAACTTATTTTCTACTTTGTTATAGCTATTTCGAGGTAAAGGTTTTTAAATGTCTACTGCCCTATGAAATATTTTGAAAAAACCAGTAGTAGTTGGCAGGCATGTATCTTCACCACTATGTTCATTTTTTACAATATATAATTTTAGTCAAGAAATTAGAGATATAAAAATTTAGAATTTAAAGTGAAAGCTAATAAAATTGGAAATTAATTGAGGATTAACATCAATTTTGAACTTTTTGAAGGACTATGTAAAATCTGAACTTACACAAAAAACTATTATTTTTAGAAGAAATATGGTGCACAAAAGTTAAGAACTACTTACCGCATCCAACTTCATCAGCTCCATTTTCACAATCTTTAACTCCATCACATACTTCATTCGTAGGGATGCAAGAATGATTGGAACAGTGAAAACTGCTGTTACGTAAGCATTCAATATCTCCTGCAAAATGAACAGAACAGAATGTTCTTTTAACAAATTTATGTAAAGGGACAGTATGTTGAATTACACAGGTAAAAATTTCACTTGGTAGATAACGTATTTTAATAAATTTTTCTTGATGTTGAGTGACAAATTCGACAGATTTTGAAACTCTCATCTGAATATTAATGTGAAATGTTCGATTTCAAAGTTTTAATAAATAATTTTTTTGATACTCATATCAAAAGGCATGTATTAAGAATAGATACAATGGCATTCGAATATAATGCAAACGTAATAATTGTTAAATATCATGTATATAAATGTGTTACGTCGCCATGTAAAGATACTCGCTAATTTGGAGAACGCTTCTTAATGTTTGTGTTTATAATTACTTCGTTGTTGTTGAGGATGCGCTATAGTGAGCATCCTCTAATAAAAAAAATTTGGATATTAATTAAAAATATATCGCTGTTTCGTTTGTTCTATGGTGAACGCCCTTTATTAAGACCAATCGTTAAAATTACAGTTCACTCATATATCCTCATAAACATTTATGATCCGTCAAGCCGGAGACTTCGAATAATTTCGAATCATGGAATATTTGTGAACTATTTGACAGTGTAAGAACAAATTTTTAATTTCGTAATTATGGAAAAACTTAATATTAAAAAGGGAAGCACCAAAGCTCAACTAACTCGTCTGGAAACTTTGTTGAATAAACCAGATGATGAATATAATGAAATTGACTTGGACACAAAACTAAATAATATTGAAAAAATTAAATCATCCGTTTGCATATTACGTGACAACTATTGTAACACTGTAGAAAATGAAGCTGCAATAGATAAAGTAGAAGAGGATTTGTTGGATATCGATTGCAGAAAACAAACATTGGAGATAAGAATTAAAAACCTCATTAAGAAATATAAAACAACTATTGCTATAAATAATGCTAAAGATGATAAACAATCTTCTATGTCAAATTGCATTAACTATCATATCCCTGAAGTGCCTATTCTAACATTTTCAGGAAATTACTTAGAATTGGCAACATTCAAAAATCAATTTAATAGTGTTATTGGAAACAACAATAATTTATCAGATAATGAAAAATTACATTATCTTCGTGTTTCGCTAAAAGAGGAAGCAAAGCTTTTGGAAACAGAAGATGATAGATTTAAATCTTTATTCCAAGCATTGGAAGAGAGATATGAAAATAATAGCCATTTTCAATCAATTCTTGAAATCGAAAAACAGTTTAATGAATCGCCTAAAAATTAACGAAAAATTGTTGATAACGTAAATAGAAATTTGAGAGCTTTAAGAAATTTAAAATTTGAAAGAAACAATTTGTCTGATATTATTATTTTAAATATAGTTTTGAAAATATTAGATCGTGAAAGTCAGAAACAATTTGAGCTTTCTTCAGAAAGTACCGAAGCACCAGAATTAGACAATTTAGTAACTTTTATCGAAAAAAGAAGTCAGGTCTTGGAAAACATTCACAGAAATAGTTTAACACGTTCACGCCGGGAAAAGTGAGAATACTGGTACGGGAAAAGAGAAAATACTGGCAGAAGAACTATTTCAATATTAGATAATATTCGGGAGAAGTTAATCTATTCTAAACAATAACAATTCACTGTAAGGAAATTTATCACGACGACGAAGCAATTCAATATAAAAATTCCATCCGTTAAAAACAATTGGTAGTTATGGATTTTTATTATTCCCGGAAAAAAACTAAAAAATGAAATTTATTGTTACCAGTTTTTTACTCCGGCGCGCTGCCAAGATGAGACAATCTAGCGTGACCCACCGGTGGGTCACCCCGGCGTGAACATGTTAATGTAAACAAAACAACCCCCTATTCCAGTTCGAAACAAAAGCCTTGTTTTAAATACGAAAAATAAAAAGTGCATTTTGTGTAATTTTATCGCATTCAATATATCTTTGTGATATGTTTAAACTCCCTCATAAAGAAAAGTATAATGTACAGTCCGCAAAAAAAAA